GTGTATGAATTAGTAATTGTGTGTGTGTGTATGTGTGTGGTTTTTGTTTTTTAATCTGTTATCCTCTAGTGTGGTTGTTGTATATCTTATTTGTATTTATATTCATGATGTGTAGCCATTTGATTTTACTAATAACTATGTCATATGAAAAATATATTTATTTGTATTGTGGAATTTTTTAGAAATTCACACGGAGCACCAACATTTGGCCAAGAAAGTAACACCCCATTGATATCACCATTCTTTAGAAAACGAGATCGACGTCAAAGTAGTGAAAACACACTACATACGATGCAAAACAAGCATAAAGAATTTTATTTATAAAAGCTCGTCGAACACAACTTCAGTGAATATTTGAAGAAAATATTATGTGGTTTTTATGAAAATGAGTTTTTAAAATTCTAGCCTAGTCTGCTCTTAATTTCTAGATTCGTTCCTGATTAGTTGATATTATTTAATTACATTGATATTATTAAAGATAGTAGAGTTGAGTTAAAATTGAGTTAAATTTGAGTTTTGATTAGTTTTTTTTTTAGTTGGATTCATAAACAATCATCCCTTACAACTTCTTCTTTAATAAAAGAATGATTTATTTTAAGATTTCAAACTCACTACTAACTACTAGAAAGAGATTATTGTTTGTAATATGAATATTGGATCGACTATGTGAAAAATGTAATCGATTTGATATATTATAAATGAAAAGATAAAAGAAAAATTATTAAATTTTAAATATATTTATAACTAAAATTTGGTGAGTGTTTTATAATTTTGAAAGTTATAATACATATTCCAAATTCACATAGAATAATGAGGAACTACAAAAAACTAACAAATAAGATTATGAAAATATTTTTTTCTTGTGGCACATCGATATTACTATTATATAGAGGCGGGCAAAAATTAGACCTAAGAGTATTGGGAACTGTTGACAGAGAAAAAGTAGATAAGTGTAGACATTGTCTTTATATTATTTCCTCCAATGTGTTATTCTGTTTAATAGGACAACTAAACAACTAAAAATTGAGAAAAAAACCACTAATATTATTTATTTTATTTTTTTTATAGATGAAATCATCTTTTTAAATTCAAATAATTAATCTGCAATTAAAATTTTAATTTTAATATTTGTTTTAGTGATTACACTTTCAACATTTTAAAAAACTAAATTACTTTATTGTTTATTTTTTTCCGTGGAGATAAAAGCCTTTTTTTTTTATTTGAAATAATTTATTGTAGTTTCTCGTATTAAAATTTTATTATTTTTTTTTCCAAATGATCTTTTGTTGGTGTGTTTATATGTTTTATGCTTGAAATACTTTTTTAAAAAAAATTAAGTGTTACGTGAACACATATGAGTCTCCAAGTATGTTTAAAATGAGTCTCTACATATTTTTAAATCAGATTATGATTATCATTTAACATTCTCAGCATATTTTTAAATCAGATTAGGATTATCATTTAACATTCTCAGCATGGTGTATTTATATGGAATAACAAACTCACTAGGAGAACTCATTATTCAATGCTACTAAAAACTCGTTCAATTTATTAACAGAATCTCAATAAGAAGTATTAAAAACTCGTTCAATATATTACAAGAGTAATCAGTTTAACAGACCTACGAAAGAAAATGTGTGCATTGTACGAAGAATTTGACCGTTCCATATTCTTACTGTCAATGCTAATATTGAGGGAATCAATTATCCAATTAAATATAAACACGTGGCATGAACATTTAACATTGACATTTAGTATACTGGATATGCTCTAATCGTGCAATGTGATGTTGGTCATTGTGTAGCTTTTATTTTTTATTTTTTTTCTCCTTTTAGACCTAATCGATTCTTGTCATTTTATGCGGTGCGGTTATTATTAGAATAATTTGATTTTTTTTCGCTACGATCCAATTTAAAAGAATTATGTAGTATATATTTTTTAATACTTTCAGTTTGGTTGCACCCCTTGCTTACATTTTCTTGCGATGTCTTTTATTCTTTATTATGGTAACAATTAATGGCAAGCTATTTTTTCATGGTCATTTATGAGCAACACAAGCTATAGCCTAAATGTTGGATATATCTGAATTTTGAATTCTTTATTATGGTAACCAGAAATTTTATAGAGTCATCGGACGGTTTTTTTATGGAGTCATCCATCACTTAATATATTGACACATGTTCAAAGTGTAGGACACGTGTAAATACATTATTTGTAAATAAGTGTGGATGGCTCCATAAATCGTGCCATCAGATTGCTCTATACCAAAGGTCCAAAACTGGTATGGCAACAATTAATGGCATTTGAGCCTTCCTTTTATGTTTGGCTTCGTGGTGACGCACAAACATCATCACTCTTTATGTATGTGTATAATATACATTATTTATATTGATTTTGCCAATTGAGGTATGAATGTTACATTTTTTATTTTATTTTTTGTTTGTGTGGTATATATAATTAACCAACCACTTCAATTTAAAATGGATGATCCTCGTTATTAAGTGTTTGTTTAGGAGTCATTTGAAATAATCTATTTAACAAATGAACTTATTCAAAATAGACTTTGTAAAAGTATCAATCATTTATTTTTATGAAATGAACACTTTGGAGAAACAATTTATTCATAGTTTATTTTTAATTTTGTACCAAACATAAATATTTATTCATGAATTTCCGTAAAATCATTTTAGAAAAGTTTTAAAACAAGCTATAAAACATTTTCTTTTAATTTTCAATGTGTATGTAAAATTGTGGGACACTAATTCCACTAAGGCTATGTTTGGTAGCTAAATAAACTAGCTTATAGTTTATTTAGTTAGCTTATAAGTTTCCTGTATTCAATAAGTCTCGTTTGATAAGGACGCAGTCTTATCTCATAAGCTACTTTAGGTAGTTTTTCAAATAAGTTAGTTGAATTTTTTATTTCAGCAAGTTTATCAGTTAATTTTACCAAACACGTTTATCATATAAGCTAGCTTTTCAGCTATAAGTCATACACTATAAACTCAAAAATTACATATAAACTATAAACTAGCTTATCAACTAGTTTTACCAAACATAGTGTAAGACTCGAACAAGGTCACCAACCGCTACTAACCTTTTGTTATCCCTAAAAATAATAGATTCAAAACACTTATTTAATGCAACTTTTACCATCCACATTCCATATAATGGAAAATTCCATGTGAGTGCTCATGCTTTCTAAAAAAAACCTTTTTTTTGTGTGTGTGTGTGTGTATGTTTATGGTCAATTACTATATCGTTTATAGTAAATTAAATCTCGAAACTATTACAATAACCTTTATTAGTTAATCAATAGATCTTCTATTAGGATATTTAACATTTAGATGCTCGTACTTACTTTTTAATAACTTTTATTTAATTAGTAGGTCTTCTATTAAGTTTGTGAATTATTTAGATACTCAATACTTTTAGTATAAATATAAACTTGCATATTTTTATATTCAAAGATAATTTTATAGTACATTTATAAGTAAAATTATTATAACATTTTATAGTATAAATAAGCATTTTTTTTTTTAAGAAACTATGCCTGTTCACTGTTTGACAGTCTAAAATAACATGTCTTACTAAAGTTCTTTGCTTAAGCTTTTTCTTGTTCATTTTCTCTTCGTTAAACGATAAAATAAATTTAAAAATAACAAAAATTATAGATGAAGTAATTCAAGAAGCAAGGAGAGTGGGTTTGGGGGACTTTGACAGGAACAACACCATACAAGACTGCAAATGTTGAATTAAATCAAAGGATTATAGTGATATAGGTAGCAAGTTTTAATATTGTTTTT